GTAGCCGAGGTATCAAACCTTTCGTTTATTAGCAGATTTTGCCCAAACCTTTAGTTTGTGCCATCGGAGATACCAAACCTTTAAAAATGTGTGGGGCCAGTCCAAAATGACAGTTTCCGTCTGTTTGACCGTCAAAATCGTCAGTTGACCGTTTAATGATATTTTCAAGAATTTTTCCCAAATAAATGAAGGGCAACATGGGCATTACACATATTTCCCTCCTATTATATACTTCACTGTTTATTTTCCTCCATTTCTTTATCACTATATATTACCTTCTACCATCTCTCTCATAGGTAGTCAAAAAAATCAGCACGCACATAGAGGGGAATGTATGCAGATGTGGTTCCCCGGTGCAGATGAAAATCTCATGGACGAACTTCAAACAGGGAAGAAGATTTCTCACTTGTCCTCGAAGTCAAGATGTGGATGGATGCACCTTCTTTATGTGGTGTAACCCTTCGATGTGTGAGAGATCGAAGGAACTGATTCTTGGTCTATTACGAGCTAGGAGGGAAATGGAAGCTGAAATCAACACTTTTCAAGCAACAAGACCAAATGTGTGGAAGATCTGGCTCTTCGGCTTTGTGTGTGGAGTGTTTGCAAAATGGGTTTGTTCCTAGGTATGTAGGGTCAGATTGTAGGATTTTAATTTTTTGTTCCAGAAATTTGAGTTTAGGGTTTCGAAATGGAGCCATGTGCTAGATGTTGTGAAATGCATATGTAAAAAGGAAAAATTGTGTTGCACCTTTTGACTTGAAATTTAACGATTTTTTCCTAGCCTCTATGTAAAATGCGAAATTAAAAGAGCTGATTACACTTCAAATTTATCTGAAGAAGGTGCAGCATAGGTACTAAACCTTATAATGATTCGCAGAATCAATACCAAACCTTGTCTAATGGTTTCAGGCAGAGTACCAAATCTTTAAAAACAATGTAGTAAAGGTACCAAACGTTTGATAATACTTTCAGAGGAAGTATCAAACTTTCTCATATATTTCCTAATCGCCTGCACATCAGATCTCACGAATAGAAATTCAGAAACCAACAACAAACAGCAGAAACATAATGCAAGATATTCGACATCAACATTATCATCACATTGAACAATTTCATCAAAAATTCGAGTTACATCTACAAAATAACATCATTGGAAGCACATATTTTTAGTTCAGTTTACAAAAAACCACAGCATTTTCCCAAAAAAATAACTATACAAGAGAAACCACATGATGTTCAAGATTACGATCCTCTATTGTTGGACTTCTTTGTCTGTGACTTGGAGGTTTCCGTTGAATGTGTTTTTCTCTTCCCCTTCGCTGATCTAGTATGTGTATCTTCTTGGGACTTTGTTTGTGTGGTTGGTTGAGACTGTTGCTGTGAACTATCTTCACCAGGCAGTGACTCCTTACAGCTTCTTTTGTTATGTCCAGACCCTCCACAGCGTTTACGCATCATCTTCATGCCAGTCCTTCCCATCTCAACGCCTGTAGGTGGCTCTGCCTGTGACTTCTTCCTCATTTTTTTGGGTCTGCCAGCCTGTTTTCTCTTCTGAGATTGATTGAGAGGATGCTTTCCAAATTCTGGCCATAGTTCAGGCCCTGACATCGGGTGGATAACTGGGGAGTAACATTTGAGGTATGTTTCCTTGCTATACCATGGGTCGATGTACTCATATATGCCAATATCCCTTGAAAGCATGCCTGATATTGCATGGGGATATGGTATTCCAATGAGCTGCCATTTTCTGCATGCACATGCATGTTTTGTCAAGTCAACGCTCCACCTCAAACCGTCTCTGCTGCTTATCTCGAATTTATGGTTGTCTGCATAGTCTGCCTTCAAGTACCTTGCCTCAGACTTAGCATTCTCAATGATTTTCACAATTCTTGGCACGAATGCATGATCCCACCTCTGTGGCACTTCCTTTTTTGCATTCATCCTTATCATTTGCTGATGCCGAATTTTCTCTAGCATCGAGATGATGGGCCTGTCTCTGGCAACAACAATGGAAGAATTGAATGCCTCACACAAATTATTAAGAAGAATATCACATCTCTAATGCTCTTCAAAATGGGATCTGGGCCACTGGGAATGAGGTTTTTCAAGGAACCAGTTGTAAGCCTCTTCACTTATGTCTTTTAACTCATTCATTGCACTCTTCCACTCTGGTACTGTTGTTGCCCTTACCGCAGTCCAAAATAGGTTCTTAAGTGCTAGACCTTTGTGCGCCAAGGTGAAATTGCTATAAAGATGTCTAGCACAACACTTATGCTCCGCTTTTTCACAGTATTGACTTATGGAATCCACCAAACCCTTTTGTTTGTCAGAAATGAATGTCCAAGCTCGAGGGTTGTGCATTCCTATGTCATGAACCAACAATTCTATGAACTATTGCCAGTTTATTTTGTTCTCTGCATCCACAACTGCCCTTGCTAACGGGAACATACAGTTCTGACCATCGATACCAACAGCTATCAACAACTGTCCACCTTCTACAGATTTTACAAAGCATCTATCCAACCCAACAACTGGCCTGCACCCAGTCTTAAACCCTTCCTTATAAGCCCCTATGCAGATGTACAATCTCTTAAAAGTATGTCCCAAACCTTCGATTTGCACTGTACTGCCTGGATTTGTTTTCTTCAATTCCTCACCGTAATCCCATAAAATTTTGTACTGCTCAGCTACAATCTCATTAATAACTTCTACACATTTCGATCTTGTCATGTAGAACTGATGCTTTGAAATCTCATACATGCAGTCCTCTTTTACAGTTTCCATAAAACTACTCATTGGAATGTTGGGATCAGACCTAAATTTTCCCACGTATTTCTTTACCAGAAAACCTGAATTAACCCTTTTATTTTGCCACACCATGGTACATGTGTGCTCATCTACAGATGTATTAATTCTAAGACTCTTGTCGGGTTGTTGGTACGCATACAAAACCCAAGGGCAATTATCTTGACACCGAACTCTCAACTGTGTCCTCATATTTTTCACGTATCTCAGTTGCCTGAAATTTTTGACTGAGTATTGAACTACTGCATTCTTTAGAATCTTGACGTTGTCGAATTTCATCCCTGGAAGAAATGAATTAAACCAAAATGCATTATCATCAAAATGAATGAAACCAGAAATGAATTACACAAAACAAATACATTATCTAGCTTGAACTGTGGATCATCCATATCAGTTGCAGGGTTAAACCAGCACACATTCTTCCTTCTGGCAGATGATCCCTCAGCCTCCGTATCACTGGGTAAGCTTCTAAGCTCATTGGAGTCTTCGTAGTCTGTTCTAGATTCTTCCCCAGCAGCCGCCTCACCTTCCTGTTCACCCCTTACACCTTCCTACTCACCACTTACACCAATGTCAAAACCTTCACTCAACCTGAAAAATGTATTTTCATCATTATCCTCCACAGCAATATTTTCTTCCTGCTCGTACTCCGAGTCATTGAATTCCTCTCCCAAAATACTCTCCTCATATTCATAATCCAGCTCAGGATCATCATGTTCCACATCATACTCCACACCAGTTTCAGCAACCGGTACGTCAACATACAGTTCATCAAACTCCACATCAGTTTTAGCAGCCTGCACCTTTGGTTCGACATCATGCAACTCATGTTCAGCAGCCTGCTGCTGTGGTCCAGAAGCATGCACGTCAATTTCAGCAGGCTGCACCTCTGCTTCGACATCATGTTCAGCAGCCTATGCCTCTTGGTCAGCAGCATGTAGCTCCTGCTGAGCCTGCTGCTGTGGTTCAGAAGCGTGCACATCAGTTTCAACAGCTTGTACCACTGCTTTAGAGTCATGCAACTCATGTTCAGACCTCAACTGTGGTTCAACATCATGTGCTTTCTCTGGTTCAGCAGCATGCACTTCTGGTTCATGTAAGTCTACTTCAGCCCCTATAAAATCAATATCTCTATACTCATGCTCTATTCCATGCACTGTAACCTCTCGACGTAATCTCCTGTAAGGAAAACTTCCTCTTCATCTGCTTCCATGTCATCCACTTCATCAACTACATACACGTCATCACCTTCTACTGATTCGTCATAAATCTCAATAGCATAGCATGGTTGCTGCTCATTCAATGCTTTACCAGACTTTTAAATCTTCACCAACTCCTCACCAGTCTCACAATTAAACACTTTAACATCCTTCTGTTCTGTTTCATCCCAAGGTAACTCCAAAACCTCAACTATAGGCAAGCAATACAGTTCAGCTGTCCTATTTTCACCAAGCCACTTTTCTAAATTCATGAAATCTGAGTCTTTAACCAACTAAAATGAAGCTTCACTTATTCTTTTCTTCTCCATCTTGTACAGATATTTAATTCTATCAGAATATCCTAACATCTTCATGGCATTGTCCAAAAGAAATCTATTGAAGAAATCAGGGTCGATATAGTCTATATAACTTATTTTCCCATGCTCATACACAAAATTTCTCATCATCTGAAATAAAATTCCACCATGATGAAGTCGTATGCTGAAGTACTTTGAATTTTCCCCTGACAAAACATCGAAAAAGAGGAAGTTAAGCCCTAGCCCTTTTCAGTTCAAGCAACGAACATATGCAGAAAAGTTAGTACACAAGCATTACGCTCTAATACACCAAATCACATAATTTTTTTGAATTTCGCAGTACGTGAAGACAATCGAATAGGGGAACTTCATAATCATACAACTTCACACCGTAAATCGAGAAAAGGGGGAACACACTTATCATACACGAGTTGGGGAAGAGAGCCTCGAATGTGGACTGCAATGTCCACTAGATGTTCGTCTTCTTCGACGTACGTTTCGTCTTCTTCATGGGTTTTCGCAGGTTCCATAGTGGATGGTGAGTGGAATGAAGTTGCAACTGACGTGTTTGATGTTGAGGAGGGAAATGTGTGCAATGCCTATGTTGCCCTTCACTTATTTGGGGAAAATTCTTGAAAATATAATTAAAGGGGTCAACTGACGGTTTTGACAGTCAAACAGACGAAAACTGTCATTTTGGACTGGCCCCACACATTTTTTAAAAGTTTGGTATCTCCGGTGGCACAAACTAAAGGTTTGGGCAAAATCTGCTAATAAACGAAAGGTTTGGTACCTCGACTACAATTTTCCCAAAAAAAAAAAAGGTATCTACATATTATATTATATACGAGAACATATAAGCATTGACAAAAGTGAAAGCGCTATGATTACTGGCTAAACTTCAGACACTTAATTTGGGGTGTTAAATTCTTGATAAATTGGTTATTAGCCAGTGTGAAGCATGGAGTTTGAGACATTTAAAATTAGGGAGAATCATCTCATATCAAGATAGTGACTTACATTGATTAAATCCAACCAAACTTGAGCAGGAAAATAATAAGTGATAAGATTTAACATTTAGAATAAACACCTAGGATGTAAGAAAAAAGAACGAGTTTAGGGATGTATCTTACAACAGATAAATGAAATATGTGATCATTAAGGGTCGGTAAATAACCTACTTTAGAGTTTATAGTGATTGAATTGATCATGCATATTCATAGTAATCTAACAATGGATAAATGGAAGAATTGATCCCGATGGCATATCTCAAGAGTCATTTATGAATTGTTCAAGTAATTTCGCCCGAGGTAAACTAACAAGCTATCTAATTAAGTTATTTATATTTTTATTTTGGGTGTTAAGTAGCTAATTTTGTTCTAGATGAATAAATATTCAAGTTTGGGGTATTTGATAAGTGAGATTTTTACACTTAATCAAACCATCAAAGTGGATATTTGAAAGTTTGTTTGATGGATTACTACTAATTCGGTTAAATATCAATTTTTGTAGGATAAGCTCGTTGTTGGACAGTTATTGATGAAAAGAAGTGAAAACTGGCCAAAACGGACAAAAGAGGAAGAATTGTTAAAGTTCGAGGACCAAATTGAAAATCTTCTAAAGCTGAATCGGACCAAGTATGGGTAATTGAAAATTACATGGACCAAATTAGATGAAATTGAGAGTTGAAGGACTCACAAAAAACATAAAAGAGTACTTAAGATAAAAAAAAAATTAGCAATCAAAGTGAAAAACATGACGAAAGTTATGCCAGACGACCGCAAAATTTTTCTCCAGAATTCCAAAGAGAAATATGGCATAGCCATGCAATCACAATGAATATAACCATGTCATGACATGATACAAAAAAAATAATAATAATAATAAAGTCACGTTTTCTTTTTCAACTCCAATTCTTTATGGAATACAATTCTATCACATTTTTAACCTACTTTGGAGGCCAAATTTTGAGAGATCGAGCATTAGCGCGAGAGAGAACAGGAAGTAAGAAATAAGAATTCATTACTACACAGTGATTGAAGATTGTTTTCTTGGAATTTGGGCAAAGACAAAGAAGGTATAAAAGTATATTGTTAAAAGGAGTTGTACACATTCAAGGAATCAAGATTTCTCCTCTTTTCTTTTTGCATTAAAAATTCGGGAAATATTTCATTATTCAAACATGAATTCTAGTAATTTTGTAATACTCGACTAACTTTTAGTCACTAGGACATAGATGAACCATTTATTATGAAAATTTAATATAAATTTCGAGACTTTGAAGATTAATACTTGCTTATCTTGAATGATTGCTATAGTTTTTAGTGCTTACAATTAGTTAGCGCTAACTAATTGAATTGAATTGTGATCTTTTCTTTATTCAAGAGAAAGAATAAGAAATTTATCGATGATAACAATCATTATAGGGTCTCATGGGAAATCCAGATATATCTTTATGTCTTGCCTAACTAAATTAGATGTTGGATTATGCTACTCGCATATAAAAATTGTACATAAGAGATTACATAAAATGATATGGAGGAAAAAGATTGGATGAAAAGTTGACAATATTTTAAACTGACAAATGATGGAGTGACATATGGTATTATGTAAAATTTGGTGTACATATAACAAAGTCCTTAGATGTATTTGTATTTTAATGCATTGTTGCATGTTTACATTCTTCATATAGATATCAAAGGATCACATGTGAGAATATATTTAATTCTATGTGAGAGATTGTTGAAAAATAGAAACATTGATCATCAACATTAAACAAGTGTGGTCATTGTCTTGGAATGTTGTTAAATAGAATAATAAGACGAAATTCGAAGTTTTTAGTGCATTTCATTTAATTGTGTTTTATAAATGCTCTTTAGACCCTATTTGACAACTATGCTTTTGAATTAGTATTTTTTTTTTTTTTTTTTTTTGAAGTGAATGAATTTTTGAATAGTAATTTTTTGAAGAATGTGTGATTAAAAAGTAGGAAAAAATTTTGAGTTTATGCTAAAAATATTTTATTGTTACAATGTGGTTA